CTGCAAGAGGGGGATATTGGGGATCTGAACACCGCAATACCGTAAAAAGAATTCGGCAAACACCCCATTATCGCAACACTCCAATAGGCCGGGTCAAAATTCAATGTCATCCCGAAACCACTACTCTTTATGTCAAGTTCAGAGCAAATAACACGGAAATAGCGATTAGGAATTTGTAATTTTCGATTAAGGCAAAATAAGTAACATCCATTGGCGTGTTGGCTAATTATTAACAAAAAATAACTAACCCTTTGTCAACGGGAATCTGGAAAAGGCATTGGAAAACGCTGAAGATAATTTTTAATACCGTCCAAAATGTTAAAAAAAACCGCATCCCGCAGGCTCGGAGAATACTGCAATACCGCAATTCGAAATTATAATTACCAAAATACCGCAAGAAAAATTGTCGAACACCGCAATACCGCAAACCCCACTGTCCCCCTCCTGCAACATGTCGCTGCGACATGACCCCTCGTGTCTGGCCACCTTTAATATTTATTACATGTACAAACAAGGTCCGAAACGTCTGGATGCAAAACATAAGTTGAGGCAGCTAGAATGAAGAATGATCGAGACAAGGGCGTCTGTTGGGCAAACAATAATACCGAAATGGAAGCAACATAAGCGAAGATAGCAAACCTTAGTCAGCTTTGAAAATTGCTTTTAGAAATAGGGGAAACTGAATCTCCGCAGAAGTCTTAAAAGTACAATCGGCCGACAGAAAAATAATAGTAATAATAGTAAACAGCTAGATTACATAGACTAAAAAAATTTCTTTTTTTATTAACGAAGGGAAATAAGTTTTTTAATCGGTTCTCTAAACGAAAGGAGAGTGAAATATCTGGGATACGTAAATCCCTAGTGATAAGATTCAGATCGAGAAATCAGCTTTATAGAGTAAGGAAGGGTGAGAGATTGGAAGTACCTGATCCCTTGTATAATGAGATTTATCCTTTAATCTGTTTAAAATGGCAGTCGAATTTTCGGTGTCGTGCTCGGAGCCAGCCTCCTACGCAGACGACGCTCTCAGGGTTCATCACGCATTCCTTCGCCGTTCGTGGGGAAGGAATGCGTGACGAGCCCTAACAGCGTCCGCTCGGGAGGCTAACTCGGAGTAGAATCGAAAAAAAGTACATAAAATCGCTAAGTCACATTATTCAAATACATTAAAGTGAAGGAGAACAGCTTTGGCTGAAAATAGCGGAACTCCGGATTCACATCAGTTTTCACTAAAAAACAAAATATTGTTTTCATTCTCTCACAAAAACTAAACCAACAGAGGTCATTCTTTAAGCCCCGAAAACAGCTAAGCGCTCGATTTGTTTGGTGCCGAAGGGTGCACAGTCAACCGGGAAGCCTGGTTTCCAAAATTTCGCCCCACCTCCGTTTCCTTTTTGTGTGATTTATACAACGACTCTTACAAAGTCACCCCCGAACAGCGAAGTGAAAATCTATACTTCTAAATGATTAAACTGGGTGCCAGAGTTTTCTTTGTAGAGATTTTTCTAGCCGACTAAAGGTCAACCAAATGGGCTCATGTTGAGCACGTTCTACTCCGCTTTGCATACTTTTGTTGATTTCTTCGCAAGCAACAGACATGCACACACATAAAGGGTATCTTTATTCATTTAAAACTATAAGTTTCTTAAGCTATGTATATAAAACAAATAAAACACAAACATAGTATAGTTCGAGCAACAACTGGCCAGACAGATAAGCCAACTACAACTAAACAAAAATGTCAACATCCGACGTGGGCGACTGATCCATGGAAGTTTTGTTCATTTTTACGTTTCATTCATCATATGCGTCATGATCAGACCAATTTCTGCATGTATTCTTCATTTTGAAAGCGGAAGTATGGTTTACTTTCAATCTCACGCGATGTTGAATTTTCAGCTTTCGATTCCTCACAATCGCCGGGGCTACCATATCCATTGAAACCAACACTAACAGTTGGCTATTCAGTGATATTATCGAACAAGATTTAACTGCAGTTATTCGGTTTGTTAATCTGTGCTTTGATTGGGCATTAAATCCTTTCAGATTGGTCGTGGCGCAGTCTGATTTGGGTGGCTGTGATACGTGAAATTACGGCTGAGGAAAGAAGTGAACTATCAACAACATTTTATATATACTCACAATTTCCGAAGTCTCCAAGTTTCTCTGCCAACAATTCAGCAAGCTAGCGATAAGTTCAACTTTCGTACAGTTTTAAGGACGGAAGATTCTTCTTGTGAAACAAAAGAATTGAAACTGAAAGTGCATTCCAAGGCGTCTCGTGATTTGACGTTAGCTACTATTTTCAGCTCCTTATCACGTGATTTCTGCGTGATTCGCGTGAATGAGAAGGGGAATAGTGGGAGAGAAAAGAGACAACAACAACAGCCGGTCTAATATCTCACTTTATGTTATCGTCAAGAAGCCACTAGCCTGGTTATAAGAATAACGATAACCACCAAACGAGGGTCTAACTTGCGATCTGCACTTGATATTTAAATATATAATATATTTTAATATTTTAATTGTTAAAAAACGCAACACCGTCAAAATTTCGCACTCGTCCCAGACCTTTTTGGACGCCAAATTTCACCAAATTTCATCTTAAAGTGCAGGAATTGGAGTCTGGAGCTTGAAATCGAACGAAACAATAATTATTTGAACTCAAA